TACCACTATTCAAGATTACCAATAGAATTTATTTGTAAAACAAACGTGCTGTTAAATGTTATATACAACAATGTTATTTATGTTGTGTATCTAAACAAGATTTATTTCACACCAAAATAAAAAATTAATATTAATATACGATCATGCTGATGCAACTTTTGGGTACAATTTACCTTATTTTCTTATGCTCAGTTGGACCAAATCTGTGAAAATTTATGCAAATAATGAAGTTTGAGAACAGAAGCAGTTTTAATAAAAAGTAATTTTTTATGACGCAAATATTAGTTACCGTGTTTTTTTCCTGAATGAAATCTTGATTATTTTTAGGCAATCTTCCTAAAGAAGGTTTTTGTCTAACAGAAGTATCGTTACTCATTTTCATAAATGCCTGTGGACTACTATTAGGTAAACCTGGAAAACAATTTGAAGCTACAGGCATTTGAGCCTGTGGTTGTGGAAATACTAATCCCCCAGAAGGGCCTGAAGGAAAATTGAGTTTCAATTGACGTCTTTTTTCTGTACTCATATCAGTATTATTTGTTTGAAAATCTAGTTTGTCAAAGAAACTGGGCCTGTTGTTTCCTATGAAAAAAAAAAATCAATAGTTGAGTTTTGGAAAATGATTACAACATTAAGTAGAAACTCAATATAATTATTATTAACCAAAATATAATATATTCACCCTGGCTTGAGGAATGGCCTTGGTCTGCCATTTTGCAGATAGATCCCTATTGAATTCCACCCTAATCTACCCTATTACACAAAATACAGTTGATGCATTTATTTTGTTAAAATTGATACCCATAACAATGAACCGAAATTAGCGTTCATATTTTTTTATATATAAACAAACACCACTAATTAATTTTATTTATACAAAACTTCTTTGAATTCTCCCTGTGATATCAAAGAAAATTGACATTATTGAACGATCTGACGTTGGTTGCAGAACGAATGTCAAAACATCATGCGAAAGATTAATGTTTTGCGTATTTTACAGTTCATAATAAATTTAACTGCAAATTTAAAATATTGGTGAAAATATAAAATAAAACATTAATATGAATATGCTAATATTATCTGTGCATTTTTATTAGTATTTAAAATGACCGCTAGTCTAGAATTTAATGGCTGAAGTATTTTGGCAACTTCACGGTGTAGAAAAGAACTGTCACAATGACAGTTATTGTCATTGCTGTCAATTCTTGTAGTTGTATGATATTAAAATGGCTTGCTTGTAACTGTTTTGTTGTATTTGTTTAATTTGATCAAAATTTCAATACATTAGTTAATAATCTTTGCATTCACAAATAAAATGGCTAACGAAGATCATTCGTGGCGTACCCATGGGTTTCGTCAAAGTGT